GTCGATACAGATGGGGCAGTGTCCTCCTTTGACCTGCTTCCCACCATGTATAAGGCTAGGTGCTTCCAACGAATCTGATCATGAAACTCGAGCAAAGCTTCTGATAACCCAACAGCGCTCCAAGTTAACAATGCACCCGCATCTGAGTACGTCTGGAACTGCTTATTGGTATGGGATATAGATTGTCAGTATCGTCTGTATGCATCGATCTGGAATATTGATATACTGTAAAAAGTCCGCGTTCGGGGACTATAGCTGAAAGACATGTGTGCAGCTCAGACCTACCAAAGAACAAGGCACTCGTGACCGGCATCTCCATGCCCCGAGGCCACCCTGAATACTGGCCTGAATTCCGCGAGCCCCCCCCCCCCCCCCCGCCGCTTCGTGCCTGCTCGGCCTGAGCCGCCCACCGGCCAGACGTCAAAGCCGTGTCAGAGGTCACTGATCTGCCCGCGCCACGCCGCCAACCGGTTCGCTGTAAAATATGCGGCGGCCAACGCGGCGGGCGCCTGCGCGCACCCCAGATGAATGGCACGCTGCCGAGGTCGATGACCTTTTGACGCGGCGGCGACCTTGCGGCCCCAGATTCTGACCGGGGCCAGCGGGGCGCCTCCGCGCCGCCGCCGCCGCCGCTGCTGGGGCGGCATCAGCATGCGCGCGGCGACCGATGTACCGTTTCCGGCGTGTTCAGCGGGGAGGCGGCTGGGGCGATGAGGAGACCGGAGTGCCGATGCGTGTATGTGCGCGCTTGCGGTCTCCGACGGTCGCCAATCGTTCTCACGTGACACGCTGCAAGGATGTACTCGGGGGAGCTGTAGAGTTTTCAGGATCGCGCCGCTGAAGCTGGAGCGGGTAGATGTAGTCGCACCGGGATTTTGCAATGTAGAATAACCAGTTGAGATGGCGCGTCAGGGCTGTTAGCCTGCATACCCATAGAAGCGGAAATGGTTGCTGACTGTTATCTGGGTCAGCAGGTAATGGCTTTTCAGCAATGTCCTGCGGTGGCGCAGACAAAGGCGGCCAAGCAACGGAGGATGTTGAAAAGAGTTGCAAACATGAAAGCATGGTGTTGGCCCCGTACCATCACCTGGCTACATGCATGAACACTGTCTTAGCATGTGACAGCGTTCGCCGACACTGGCATTGTCAGTGGTACAGGATTTGATGTGTTCAGCGCAGATCAAAATTTTCTGATGCCAGCAGAAAGCCGGCATATGTCATCCAAGACGGCACATCAGTAATGGCTCTGGTTCAGTGACGGTTCCTGTTGCCGGGGCGCCGAAATCTCGCGTCTCCCGACTTGAGTTCCATGGTTGCGCCAAGAAGTAATATTCGTGGTTGAGACGGTGGGAGCGTAGCTTTCACATGGGCGGCTACGCCACGGTGGGAAATGTGCTGGTGACTTGGAGATGGTAAACACGTCCCGCCCAGTTAACGTTTATGGGGGTAAGGATGAATTTTCCAGAATTTGGGATTTGCTTACGTTTTCCGCGGTGAGCCAATGCATGCTTGGTCGTAAACCTGAGACATTGATAAGACCATGTCTGACCACGTGGACGCAGATTGGGTCGCGTTCTCTTTCCATTTTCACAACAGGCCCTGACACTCTCATTGCACTCCAGAATTTCCAAAGCACCCACATCATTCCACTCCCTTCAAATTGCACACTCCAAAGCACCAGTGGTCAAAACGGAGTGCGGGTAGTCAAAAATCCTGGCAAGATTTAATTACAGCTTGTAGAAGATGGTCAGTCTGACCAACCGAGTTAAGTTTTGAAATGTTTACAAACGGTGAGTTTACAATAGATGAGTTTGCGGAAATAAGGGCATCTCAGATATGGACAAACAATGCTAAGCCAAATGTTCCTTACAAACATTGTCATTTTAGATGGCGTCGCCCAGCCCCTGGGTCCTTGTTTTCATGTATGTGAAAAACGTTGAAGCTTTTTAATAAAAAAAACGAAAAATGTGCAAGCAAATTTCATAGAAGCGATGCGACACGCAGTGTATAGCAGTATGGCATTTTTGCATCAGGCAGTCCCGGGAGATGAAAGGGTGGTGACTTGCGCTGAGTCGCCACATCGGCGCGCGGGACCGGAGGGTGCCGCTCGGGCCCTTCCGGCCCAGCGCACCGCCAGGCTTCGAGGCGCGTGCCTTTTGCCGCGTCAGTGACCGGCGTCCGGTGTCGGCGCACAGGCGTCGGCGACTTTCGTTGTTGCGACAGCACCGCGACCGACGCGGCGGCGCGGTGCTGCTCTGTTTGCCATCAATGCAGAGCGGTCGTGCCGGCGGCTGGGTCGTTACAACACGGGCGCGGGTCGTGTCGTACGGTCGCTTAGTTCCGCCAGCGGTGACGGTTGGCACACGTGGCGGCGGCGGAGCCGGCGCCGGCCGGACCCGCCGTGAGTCACGCCGGTTCCGGTTCTCCCGGTCAAGCGATCTGGGTCAGCAGACGCCCAAGTCGCGGAAGCCGCTGCGTACCACCCTGTGGTCGACGTCGTCGTACGGTCACAACGGAAGTGAAATTTTGCTCGTCGGAGAATTACAGCATCAGTTCGCATTCCAATTATTTTGGAATGGTCGCCTTGCACATCATGTGAGGCGTGAACCACCTCCAACCTGATGGAAATGGAGAGCTTACGCACGGAGCTTATGTCATGGGGGCTTTACGACGCACTCAGCTGCTGAGGCTTTATGGCGTCGCTCGCCTTTCACCCTGGCAGGAAGGGCGGGCACCGCGGTGAACCGAACCTCGTAACTCTGGTTCCCACACGCGCAGTGGTTAACGTAGACGCATTAACCAGAGTTTGCCAGAGTTAACCAGAGCGCAGAGTTCGAGCAATGTTTGTTTGACAAAAGGTATAAAAAAACAGACGCGTGCTTAACGTCTCATAATAACAAAATTATAATATATGCCTCTGGCAGGTTGAAATCGACCAGCTCGTCCTTGCTTTAGTGTGATCTAATACCAGAGAGCATCAAATGAACCACTTCCTGAACAATCCAACCCAACATCAGGCTGGTTAGGCTTATGTTAACATGCCGATTGCTTGTTGTGGCTCGGTGAGAGCATCAAATGAACCACTTCCTGAACAACCCAACCCTACATCAGGCTGGTTAGGCTTATGTAAACATGCCGATTGCTTGTTGTGGCTCGGTGAGAGCATCAAATGAACCACTTCCTGAACAACCCAACCCGACATCAGGATGGTTAGGCTTATGTAAACATGCCGATTGCTTGTTGTGGCTCGGTTTTTCCAAGCCTGCCCACAATGCTCAGAATCATCCCGAAGTTCCCGTAAACAGGCAAGGTAGTTGACTTACCCTGAAACCACACATCCCGGAGTTACCTTAAGGTCACCAGCTACATTTGATGTACTAAAAGCGGTGTTTTGGCTTCCGAAACCGGTTGGACACAAAGCCATGTCGATGCAAGCATTCATGGTGAGACAAGCTGTGAAATTTAATTATGCAGTGTGCAAAATACTGGGGAGTAATCCGGACTGCCTCTGTGGACCAGAAGCATCGGTCGTACACCTCCTGGCCGTTCACAGCACGAGATTCTTGGTATTCAGGACATGCAAACAAAGCACAATGCGGACAACCACCCCGGTCTCTCTGTGCACTGTGACGAACTAATGCATGCCCTTCTGCTGTAACTTGCAGCTGCTTTGCTTGTTTGTGCTCCGCAGTCGCGGATGCTTTAATGCTCCCCTCGCTAACAAAGATATCATCGACCCTTGAACTGCAGCTCTCGCCTGTTAATGGAGCCCAGTTTTACGACGCACGGTGATGTAGCCCAATGCTGACAGATCACGCCAGTGCTGACAAGACGCTGTCGTGACTGCTGTCTGTGACTGACGTGCCTTGTCACGGGCGTGACGTCACGGTGACGGGAGTGATGTAAAGCGCGTCTGTGAAAATTCGCTGGTTGGGAGGTCTAAGGCAGGCGCTGTTTTCTTTTGTGAAGCATGAATTTAGGAACAGAAAGCACTTTCCAATGCAGACCGCGATATGTGCAATTAGACGCTTTCAATTGCCGCGAGGCATTCCTGAACTTGAATCCTTTTGGACGTGTCTGGTGTATCAGATATTCTGGAACGATATAATATTTGACCACTTGACAGAGAACATAAGATTAAGCCTTCCAATTGATAGCACTTGGCTCGATTCAGCAATTTTCCTCGTCGGAGTTTCCTCGTATGCGTGGGGGAATGACCTCTGACGATACTATTAAACCATGAATTTGAGCGATTATACCGACAAGCGGGCCAAGACTCGCAGGGTGACTTGCTAAGGCCGACTGCGCGTGCGGCGATATAGCATATTTTACCGACAAGCGGACTAAGACTCGCAGGGTGACTCGCTAAGGCCGATTGCGCGTGCGGCGATATAGCACACAGATGCTCTAAATACCCACATAGCGTGCATACGCTGAAAAAAACAGAACGTGTTCAGGTATGCGAGGCGAGTCATGCTCTCAGAAGCGCGCCATCTTCCAGTGCATTAAATGAGACAAGTGGTGCTATCTCTAATGTACTATAGTGTGGTTGTTTCTATGTTGGCTTCTTTGTGTATTAGGTTCTAGATGAGCCTTATATAGGAGAACCAAGCGCAATGTAGCGTATCGTAACATACCCGAAGACAGTGTTTGTGTTATTCCTTATGAAAGTTCTACCGGCGTAAAAACATATAGTGTCGTTTTCAGGCTCTCCCCAATTCATTCAGGTTGCCTTGGTCCACGGCACTTTTAGTTTGACGACTCGCAGCTTCGGACCTTAGTTCACTTCTGCCTCTCTGAGCGAAAACTGCAAGGCACGACTATCACGAGGCTCATAGAAAACTACTCGATCTCACCTTCTCCACGTCGAAACCTCTTCAGACCATACATTCCTGTGTCTGTACGTGCTGCTCTGTGCCTTTCGATTTCGCCAGCGTGACGCCGGTGACAGGGCTCCACATCGTGACCTGCCGTGTCACGCTGGCACTGTCCGTCCTCAGACCTGTTCAGCTCGCTGGCGCGGCCCGAGGAGGGCAGCCAGTGCCCGGGCCGCTGCTACCACGCGCTGGCCGCGCTCATGTGCGAGAAGGTGCTGGACGACAAGCCGTGCCCACAGCCGTCCATGCGCTGCTGTGTACTGGCCGGCGGACAGCAGGCGCCGGCGCCCGCGACCGTGGCGCCACCTACGCCAGCCGCCCTCACCGCCACCAAGAGCGCCACCACCAAGCGAGAGGTGCGCTGCCATGATGGTGTCTCTGAGCACCCTCGGCTGCGGCTTGGGGAGACAGAGCGTTTGACTACTGAGCGGTTCGGCCGGTGTCATGTCAGTACAAAAGTGAAAAAAAATGTAAACTGTCACTTGGTAAGCCAGCACGCCATTTGTAATTAGTGTACTTGTAGCTACAACTAAGCGTATCCTCTTTAAAGAACTAGAAAGCTCGGAAAAGGCATGTAGCCAGTGATGTGCACACATATAAAACGATTAACGACCTGTATGGTCTACGGCACACGTCCCGGCCAGACAATGTGTTTTGCTAACGCGAGGTGTCTCGTTACCGCATGCATGTCACTTGGCGTAGATCAAAACACCTTGAATCAGAAAACATCTTTCCATCCGTTCCAAAAAAACACCCATCAGCAGCGGCCGGTCCTTCCCCAGGTGCCTACGACACCAGCCACAACCACCACGCCTGCACCGATAACCACGCCCACGACCCGAGCCCCCTCGCCCGAGACCACGGCGGCGACTGTGCCGACGTTGATTGAGAAGATGGACACGGACGAGACGGAGCTGGTGGACGGTCTGCCGCGACCGCAGCCGTACGGAGCGCAGCAGGGGACCAGTGAGTGTTCGCGGCATTCGGTCCAACACTCATGTCGTTCGCAGCGAGAGATTTAATGGTGTGCCCAGGACAGGCTGGGATTCTGTTATTTAAGTTGTGCCATAGATGTGCAGGACCTGCGTGATGAGAACTTCGCTACGATTACGAAACAAGCCGCGGAGACAGTCAGCTTTATTTGTTAGATCATAGGTGTGCCCGCCGTCAATTATCAGCAGAGATACTTCCCACTCTCGCTAATCACCACTGGCCGCCACTGATCATCACGAACTTTTGCTGATCACCACTGGCCGTCACTGATCATCACGAGACCCCGCTAATCACCACTGGCCGTCACTGATCATCACGAGCCCCCGCTTATCACCACTGGCCGTCACTGATCATCACGAGCCCCTGCTAATCACCACTGGCCGTCACTGACCATCACGCACCCTCGCTGATCACCACTGGCCGTCACTGACCACGAGCCCTCGCTGATCACCACTGGCCGCCACTGACCATTGCGCACCCTCGCTGATCACCACTGGCCGTCACTGATCATCACAAACCTTTGCTGATCACCACTGGCCGTCACTGATCGTCACAAACCTTTGCTGATCACCACTGGCCGTCACTGATCATCACGCACTGCCGCTGACGGCCACCGGTCGCCCCTGCCCTCGCAGCCATCTGTCCGGGCGTGTGCGTGGCCAAGCGGCTGGCGGCTTACTGTGAGGCGGCGCTGGACCTGCCCGGGGTCTGCGCCGCCGACCAGCGCTGCTGCGTCGCCAAGGACCTGTTCGACGGCGTTGAGGACAAGCCCGAGCAGTTCGTCATTCTGGGCAAGACGCCCAAACCTAAGCCTGAGGAGCCGGAGGAGGAGAAGAAGCCAGGTATACCCGGAATGCTGTGAACATGGCTGTCGTTTCGCAGCCCCTGTATCAATTGGACAATATACAGCCAGAAATGGATGTTAGTGATAATGCCGCCACGTTAAAACAGTGATCTTACCTTAACGTTAGGTATCAACAATGGCCTCCCTGATCGTTGATCTTTGTTCTGTCGTGCCCCCGTTTCAGCATCAAGCGCTAGTGTCGAAATCCCCGAGCAGAAGAAGTGCGCCGGCCAGTGTGTGACGGGGCTGTTCTCCTACCTATGTGACCGCGTGGACAGCAGCGTCAAGTGCGGCAACGGAGGCCGCTGCTGCCTGTCGCGCTCACGGCCCGACAAGACTCAGGCCACCACGGCCAAGCCGGCCGGCGCGCCGACCGAGAAGTGCCCAGGCGTCTGCATGCCGGGCCTCATGAAGGCATACTGCAACGCGCCGTCGCGCCTGCTGCCCAACAACCGCGGCTGCACCAGCGGCCAGGTCTGCTGCGACAATCGAGAGGGAGCCGACAAACAGGAGGCGGGTGCTGCCAGCCCGGCGCGGCCGCCGCGGCCGCCGGGCGCCTCGCCCATCGGCGCCATCCTCAACCAGGCGCTGGGCGCGGCGGCCGGCGGCGGCGGCGGCGGCGGCGGCGGCCTGCTCGGCTCGCTGGCGCCGCTGGCCGCCTCACTGCTGGGCGGCGGCGCTGGCGGTGGCGGTGGCGGCGGCGGCGCCAGCGGACTGGTGCAGGCCGTGCTGCCGGCGCTGCTCGGCGCCGGCGCCAACCGGCCGGCGGCGCCGCAACGGTTCCCGGCTGTGCCGGCGCCAGAGCGGGTCGACGCGAACCGCCGGCCGCCGCCGCCCCGAGGAAGGCCGCCGCCGCCGCCGCCTGTGCCGGTCGACCCGCGGCCATTGTGTCCGGACACCTGCATCGGACCGTTCCTCTCGTTCACCTGCTTCGGTAAGACCTGTGGGGGGGCGACTCGATTACTGCGGGTTGGCCTGTGTCTGGAATTATGCATAGCAAGCTGCCCGTCGCGTTTTACGTGATGCACGGTAGCTCTACTTCGACTGCTTAAAGATCGACTCACCACTTCTTTTTTCTATAAAATGTTGCTGAACTGCCAAGTTGTCCCTTAAGTTGCACAGCCCTGTTAATTTCACAACCGTTAAGCCATTCATAGACCATTTTAGACCAAATCTCTGGAGATCCTTTGTGTTGCCATATCATGTCTTGCGTGCTCTATTCCATGTAAAAGATACATCGCGTGTTTGGAGATGACACTGGGTGGACGTAGGTGAGCACTGTCTGTTCTGCTCACCGCAGGAAGCGCCGAGATGACGGACCTGTTCCGCTGCGGCTCCAAGAAGGAACAGTGCTGTGCCAAGAAGTCAGCCATCCGCAGACTACGCGATCAGCAGTACTACAACGCGGCCAACGAGTACAACAACGAGTACCCGACGTACCCCGACAACGAGCAGTACGGCGGCCGCCCGCCCTTCGTACCGCCGCACGGCGAGTACCAGCCCGAGTACCAGCCTGAGTACCAGCCCGAGTACCAGCCTGAGTACCAGCCGGAATACCAGCCGGAGTACCAAGAATACGGGCAGGAGCGACCACCGCCGCCAGCCGGCGAATATGAGCAGCAGCAGCCGCCGGAGTTCGTCGGCAACCAACAGCCCGGCCTGCCGTCCCGTATAGGTCAGCTATCCAAACTGGGAAGAGACGCGCACTGTCAGCTATCCAAACCGGGGGGAGACGCGCACTGTCAGCTATCTAAACCGGGGGGAGACACGCGCTGTCAGCTATCCAAAACGGGAGGAGACGCACTGTCAGGGAGACATCCAAACCGGGAGGAGACACGCACTGTCAGCTATCCAAAACAGGAGGACACGCGCACTGTCATCTATCCAAACTGAGAGGAGACACGCACTGTCAGCTATCCAAAACGGGAGGAGACGCACTGTCAGGGAGACATCCAAACCGGGAGGAGACACGCGCTGTCAGCTATCCAAACCGGGGGGAGACGCGCACTGTCAGCTATCCAAAACGGGAGGACACGCGCACTGTCAGCTATCCAAAACGAGAGGAGACACGCACTGTCATCTATCCAAACTGAGAGGAGACACGCACTGTCAGCTATCCAAAACGGGAGGAGACACGCACTGTCAGGAGACATTGTCAGGTGTCAGCTATCAAAACCGGGAGGAAACACTCACTGTCAGCTTTCCAAACCGGGAGGAGACATTCACTATCAGCTATCCCAAACGGGAGGAGACACGCACTGTCAGCTATCCAAACTGGGAGGAGACACGCACTGTTATCTATCCTAACTGGAGGAGACACGCACTGACAGCTTTCCAAACCGGGAGGAGACACGCACTGTCAGCTATCCAAACCGGGGGAGGCGCGCACTGTCAGCTATCTAAACCGGGGAGAGACATGCACTGTTGGGCCGCGTACCGTCTCGCATGGGTCAGCTATCCAAACCGGTAGGAGACATACACTGTCAGCTACACGGAATAAGACACGCACTGTTGACTATCCAAAACAGGAGGAGACACGCACTGTCAGTTATTCAAAACGGGAGGAGACACGCACTGTCAGCTATCCAAACTGGGAGGAGACACGCACTGTCGGGCCGCGTGTCGCACCACACATAACACACGGATTGTGCTCAGATTGGGATTATGGCTGCTGCAATGAGCTGACTATGTCGCATTGTGTTCCGTGCTAACCCAGGGCTCAAAGGCGGACCCGTGGCCAAGCCTCCGTATGTCAATTGTATTCCGGCAAGGTGCTTTCAAGCGGGAGCAGCTGCTCACAATTTCGCAACCGATTTCACGTTCGTCCGCCATTGCGCGTCCAGTCCTTAACTCAACTGGGCACGGGGCCTGCCCCTGTTGAGTTTGCGGCCCGCTTCCCCTGACGTCCCCCCCCCCCCCCCCCTCCTCTCCGCAGACGGCCCGGGCGGGCACATCCAGATCTATCAGACGACGCCGGCGCCCGAGCCGCCGCTGCCCGTGCACAAGAACAAGTACGTGTGCGGCGTGAAGGGGCCGCCGGGTCGGCGCGGCCGCGTCGTGGGCGGACAGGACGCGGCGCCGGGCGAGTGGTGCTGGCACGTGGCGCTCATCAACTCGCTGAACCAGTACCTGTGCGGCGGCGCGCTCATTGGCACCCAGTGGGTGCTCACTGCCGCCCACTGCGTCACCAAGTAAGTCAGGCGGTGTCAGGTGGCCGCTGAGATGGTGCGGAGGCTGAACTCTGCTGCTGATGCCGCTTGATAGATTGCTGTTATGCGATTGTGTTACTTTTCCAAGGTTCGCCCTCTGCAAGCAGCGCATCACAGGAAGTCGTGTGGTTCATGACACTTCTTCAGTTTGCATCGGCACCACTGTTGGCTTCGGTGTTTGCATTCGTTATTGTATCTGGTCAAAAGCGTCGCATATGCCCAAGTTAATCGCGGTGGAAATGTCGTAGCGCGACCGACGGTGAGTTTTGAACCCACGACCTCGAGGCTACTGGGCCATCTCTGACCGGCCGCGTGGTCATCCCCGCCTCAGCATCGTTCGATCCGGTGACGCCATCTACGTGCGCGTGGGGGACCACGACCTAACCTCCAAGTACGGCTCGCTGGGCGCGCAGACGCTGCGCGTGTCCACCACCTACATCCATCACAACCACAACTCGCAGACGCTGGACAACGACATCGCGCTGCTCAAGCTGCACGGACAGGTGAGCACGGCCGATGGTCTCACTGGTGAGTGGAGCAGGGAGCGAGTCACTGTCGCTTATCTCAACTCTCCTCATCGAGTCGGCTGCCAGCATATGTCAGCTTGAGCTATTCGTGCAATGTCTGAGGAGAGTCGCTTACTGCCCTCTGTGAGCGAATCTGTTGTAACATTGTAGCCTGTTTGAAGCTCCGCGCTATGCCAGGCGCATTCGTTACGCTTATTGTGTGCAGTCACCTCTCCTTTTCCTTTTGATACTGGCGCGTGTGAGCCTCTGGGCTCTGACTTCAGCTCCACCCTCAGCGCGCCAGTCACCTCTCCTCTTCCTTTTAATTCTGGTGCGTGTGAGCCTCTGGACTCTGACTTCAGCTCCACCCTCAGCGCACCAGTCACCTCTCCTCTCCTTTTTGATACTGGTGCGTGTGAGCCTCTGGACCTGACTTCAGCTCCACCCTCAGCGCACCAGTCACCTCTCCTTTCCTTTTTGATACTGGTGCGTGTGAGCCTCTGGACCTGACTTCAGCTCCACCCGCAGCGCGCCAGTCAGCTCTCCTTTTCCTTTTGATACTGGCGCGTGTGAGCCTCCGGACTCTGATTTCAGCTCCACCTTCAACGCACCAGTTAGCTCTCCTTCTCCTCTTCCTTTTGATACTGGCACGTGTGAGCCTCTGGACTCTGACTTCAGCTCCACCTTCAGCGCACCAGTCAGCTCTCCTTTTCCTTTTGATACTGGTGCGTGTGAGCATTTGGATTCTGATCCAGCCTTCGATTTCCGACACGAGCCCAGTCTGTCCTGCATTGCCAGCGCTGAGCCTGTCAAGCGTCCACCCCACGCCGGCGTCCTGACTTTGGCGTGACCCCGTCCGCGCCGCCGTCTCAGGTGGAGCTGAAGGAGGGCGTCTGCCTGGTGTGCTTACCGGCGCGTGGCGTGGAGCAGCAGGCCGGCAACCGCTGCACCGTCTCCGGCTACGGCTACCAAGGCGAAAGTGAGGGCCGCCTTCTGTGACAACGGCGAGCCGTTGGCAGCAGACTGCATTGCCATCTATCGGTATACTGAGGCATCAGCGTTGAGTCCATCGTATGAGCAGTTGCAGCTGCATCGCGGGAAAACATGACTCTTTGAGGTTTGCAATTTGTGGCATGCTCATCCAGCGTTTAAACAAAGCATTGATTGCGTTGTGGCTAGCATTCAAGCGGGTTGATGGTGGTGACGGCCAGTCGTTTCTGCCTTTGTTGGCGCCTCCCGACGGTCGACCTAACTTTCCCCAGCTGGGCCGATTCCGCTGAGGGTGCGGGCCGCAGAGCTGCCCATCGTCTCTGACAATGAGTGTGTGCGCAAGATCAACGCCGTCACAGAGAAGATCTTCATCCTGCCAGCCTCCAGTTTCTGCGCTGGTGGTGAGGAGGGCAACGATGCCTGCCAGGTCAGTGTCAGCGGGAAGGTGATGTTGCCGCGCCCGTCCGGGCCGCTGACAGGCGTGTGCCTTCTCAGCCTGTGTACACCAGCTGCCCGTAGTGAGCTGTAGTCAAGCTGGAGGATGACGTAATGACAGTTTTGTCAAATCGACTTGTTCGATAACTGCATGTAGTGTTAGTCGACACATTCGATACTGGCAAACGGCAGCCATTTCGCCAATGCAATATGGTGCGCCAGCCGCGTGGACTTCGTTTGAAATCACTAGCATGCATGTCACATAGCTAACGGTCAGTTGACGCCGTTCCAGGGCGACGGAGGAGGTCCTCTTGTGTGCAACGTGGACGGCTACTATGAGCTGTCCGGCATGGTCAGCTGGGTAAGGACTCAACGTCTAGAACGTGTAACGTCAAGAATGTGTAATGTCTAATGGCCCTTGGGGCCCATGGGCAGTCTACTTACTGTATGGATGTCGGGTGACGCACCTGCATCACTGTGTTTTTGTAGCCATTTCGTAGAATTCTACCAAAGCGGTTGAGTTGGTCTCACACCCAGCATTCCTGGTTTATTATATTTACGATCATGCAAAAGAGTTAATTCGCTCATGTGCCCACATCCGCGGTTACGGAGGTTAAAGCTGGCACAGCCAGTGGTCAAAGTTACATGCGATGCTAGCACGAGACGTCAGTGAAATCTGCAGGCGTGGCGGGACCACCCACGCCATGGCACCGCGGTCGTTACTAGGGCGACACATGCCATGGCAGCGCGGTCGTTACTAGGGCGACACATGCCATGGCAGCGCGGTTGTTACTAGGACGTCACATGCCATGGCAGCGCGGTTGTTACTAGGACGTCACATGCCATGGCAGCGCGGTTCTTATTAGGACGTCACATGCTATGGCAGCGCGGTTGTTACTAGGACGTCACATGCCATGGCAGCGCGGTTCTTATTAGGACGTCACATGCTATGGCAGCGCGGTTGTTACTAGGACGTCACATGCCATGGCAGCGCGGTTCTTATTAGGACGTCACATGCTATGGCAGCACGGTTGTTACTAGGACGTCACATGCCATGGCAGCGCGGTTGTTACTAGGACGTCACATGCCATGGCAGCGCGGTTCTTATTAGGACGTCACATGCTATGGCAGCGCGGTTGTTACTAGGACGTCACATGCCATGGCAGCGCGGTTCTTATTAGGACGTCACATGCTATGGCAGCGCGGTTGTTACTAGGACGTCACATGCCATGGCAGCGCGGTTCTTATTAGGACGTCACATGCTATGGCAGCGCGGTTGTTACTAGGACGTCACATGCCATGGCAGCGCGGTTCTTATTAGGACGTCACATGCTATGGCAGCGCGGTTGTTACTAGGACGTCACATGCCATGGCAGCGCGGTTCTTATTAGGACGTCACATGCTATGGCAGCACGGTTGTTACTAGGACGTCACATTCCATGGCAGCGCGGTTGTTACTAGGACGTCACATGTCATGGCAGCGCGGTTGTCACTAGGACGCCACATGCCATGGCAGCGCGGTTGTTACTAGGACGCCACATGCCATGGCAGTGCGGTTGTCACTAGGACGTCATATGCCATGGCAGCGCGGTTGTTACTAGGACGTCACATGACCGTGCGCTGGACGCCGGCAGGGCTTCGGGTGCGGCCGTCAGGACGTACCCGGCGTTTACGTCAAGGTGTCCTCCTTCATCGGCTGGATCAACCAGATCATCAGCGTCAACAATCTCTGAGGACGCTGACACGTCGGCAATGTTATCAGCGGCCGACCGCGGCGATCACGGCGCACTGCGCCGCGTTGGGACGAGGTGGGCGTCCCTTGGAAACACAAGCTGACTCGTCTGCTAGCAGCGACCAGTGTGGGTATTCGACGACGCCATAAGATGCCGGCCAAGAAGAAGAGGGCACGGGTCAGGATTGGAGACAGCATTGTTTCTCCCCAATCTCCCTGCGGTGCAAGCCCATTGCCCTCAGGCCGGAGCGTCTGCTGAATGGGCTACATACAGACAAGATGGTGGGAGTTGCGTTTTCGCGGATGCGCTCACGTCCTCCGGTGTTCGATGGCTACTGCTAGAGAGCACATGCAGTACCGCAGTATGTCATCAGACGGCGCGACCGACCAGTGTATGGGACGGTATTGTGTTTCTGGACTACTCTAGCAACTCGTATTGCCTGTAATATACTCGCTCGTAGTCGACGAGCAAGGACACTGACAAATGACGGCACTGCGCCCCACGTGCGAGCAATCCCGACGGATTTGTATGTTCAAAACTTGTGTAAGCTGTTGCTCCTTTTGAGAGACATACGGTTTGCGTCTTATGGTGTGTAGGTGGTGACGTTTCTGGCAAGGTATAGTCAATTTGGGGCTCTTCCCTTGTCGGAAGACAATGAAGAGAAGTACAATGACATGATAACTTGACAAACGACATGTGTGATATGGCACCTGTTTGGTCACGAAATTGGTGAGTGGCATTACTTCCAGCCAAAGGAGATAGGTTTATCTCAGGTCGTTGTGAGTAAGTGATTTGTGCTTTGTCCTGTCTGTAAATGTTCACTGAACATCCTTACTCGCCCGCTGTTGGCCACCTTTGCACAGTTGCATTTCCTTTTGTTTCCTTGCTGGGAAGAAATATCGTTTCTGTGTAGTGTGTAGCGCTGTAAGCCACTACGTGTCGGTTTAAGGGGAAGCCGCACGAGGCTGGTTCAGACGCTCGTGGGCAGATATCACTTACTAGGCTTAAAGTGAATTGCTTTGTATGCCCTCAACTAACAAGTGTGGGTATGCCGAGCAACAGGTTGTCACCTGCTCCTCGACAGAGGCCATGCGTGCAATGTTCGTGGTCACTTGTTACCCTAGCATCTGGTTGATTTGTTACCGCAGTGAATTTCGTTAATTACCTGTTTTTCTACTAGATGAGGATCGATTGATTGCGTAAGTTGTACACACGCCCAGGAAATATATTTAGCTCGCATAGGGCTGAAGAACGTCACATAGCTACCATGCTTGTTTAACACGTGAATGTAGTCTTGACCGTCGATTCATTTCGACTGATGAGTGAGCTGCGTGGACCGGTCCTGTGACCGATCCTGGAGACGAGGTTAGTGATCGTGTCTGTCGTGTTTCTACGTTAGTAAGAACACGGGTGTTAATAAACACTCTGTCTAGAATGTCCTATTGAACTTAGCGTTGTGCGTTCACACAGTGAAAGTTGCATAAACGTTCAGTGATTATTACCTAAAAATGCCTTCAACTCGGTTCGCCGTTAATTGGCAAGTACCTTTCCCTGCACTGAGCACGAGAGGTGAGCCCAGGCGGTGCCTGGCACACGGGTAACAGCGGTGGTCATGACCTGCGGTCGTGGGGTGGTAGATCGTGATGACTGCGTGAGGGTAGGTCTCGTGACCAACGACTACTCAAAGTCAGGAGGTTATGTTGTCAAAATGGTGACATATTTTTTCACCAGTTTGGTTTTTCGGTTTCTCGCGATTTCAGTGTTGCTCCAGATTGATGCGGTTGTAGGGACCTCATGCAAGGTCAAAGTGGCCTCTCAAGATTGTTGAGACCGTTAAGTCAGAACCGATCCTTTCAATGAATTCGCCTGTTCAGATGAGTTTTGAACCCTCTTCAACTTCAGCGGCTGATATTCGTCAAAATTAGTACATAAGTGGCAGGAATACACATTTGCTCACACACCTTCAATCACACTTCCCGATACAATGCTATGAAGCTCTACAAATAATCAAATCCGTCAAGCGTAATATAATCTGCGTGCGTTGTTATTCTTACCAAATATTAGGTGTGCACACATTCCAACTCAAAGCGCGGACCGCCCGCTGAGCCTCCGAACATGCCCGCACTGATTCCCCGACACTGATGACAGTGGCACATTGACGCCTCCGTGCGTACAGGCATGCCGATATTTCCAGAGAGCACAGGCTGCCCTCTCGCACTATCCATTTTTTCTGTCGCCTCTGGTGATGGCCTTTCCCATAGGCGTAAGGACGTTTCAAAAAGTTGGGGGGGGGGCAAGTTCAGGGCGTGCTTCAGGAACTTTTTCTGGAAAGTGAGCCCGATGACCCGGGAGGGGTAGGGATGGAGGTTGTTATCTCTCTTTATTCAAATGTCATGGCTGCTGTGCTAGATATGCATCTACAGTTGTTTCTCACCTGTGCACAACATTGCCTATTCGACTCATCTGCCATTTGCCAAATAGGGCTATCCAGCTCCCCTAGATTATTCGTCGATTTTAACATGGCCTTTCCTGGAGAGGCAAAATTCCACGAGTGGGTAGGCATTTTGGGTCACTGAGGAAGCATATGCGAGAATTTTGAAAATGTATCGATGGCTAACAGTGCGACAGATTTTTTCATGCACCTGCATTTCGCTGGCTGCTTCTCAAGAGATCAGACTTGTCGCAGCATTTTAGGCGGAAACAAAGTTGGGAGCTTGAAACTGCTAGATGCAATGTGACAAAAACTATAAAGCTGGAGATTCTCTTTTAATAATCAAGTCACATAATAAGGTCCATCTGTCATATGTTCCTCACCTGGGCCCTGCTCCTGTCCGCCGTCGGTGGCGCTGCCCTGGCCCGGATGTCTCCCGCATGACTGACTGCGAACTGATCGTATGGCTGTATTGTTGTATGCTTTTGGATCATTGTTACCACTACGTGTTGTATGAAACATGTGCTGGACACCTGCAGCAGTATCTTTTTCCGAATTATCTTCCCTCATACCAGGCTATCGCAGAAAAATAGTCTCCGGGAAGCTGTCTGCCTTAGGAATGAATTCGCCCGACGGCCACTTCGTTGTTCATCTTGCAACGTATACCACTTGATTAGCTTTTGTGTGTAGGCAGGGGCGTAGCCAGAGCCTTGCCAAGGGGAACGCAAGGTTGACAAAAGCCCATCTTATGGTGATCCCCCCCAAAATCCCCGGATATAGCTTGCTTGTTAACAAGTGACACGGTTGTCGTCATTCATTGTTATTTTTGCCTTGTAGCCAGAACAAAAACCAGTAGCTACCGTGAGCTCGATTCTGATTGTATTTTGAGAGGTCAATAAACTGCAGAAACCAGGCGTTGAACGACCGCATGGAAGAAATCACTGGCGCTCTTCATTTACAGTGGTTATGTGACTCTCTCTAAACCGATAGAATTTAGATGTTTGGTCAAAATGTTATCTCGGTTCTACAGACATTGAGGACATCGCGAAGGTAGATTGTAGATCAATTTGTTTGATCCAAATTTGAAGATGAAAATTTGATTGCAGATCGAGTGGTCAACAATGTGTATCAACATAGCCAATCCATGTTTGTCTCAAAATGCCCATCATTCAGTCACAATCGATAAGTGATGCAATTTATGTAACGTGTTTTTTAACATGCGTGCTCGCAAATCTTAACGGCAAAAACCTCGACACCAGGCGCTGCAGTTTCCGTAGGCCGCGTATCGTCCGCCTAGCAGCTAATATTAAGTTGTGGCCAATGAATGGATGAAAATGACGACGCCTCTGAAAAGGTATCCTTAAACGCTTCATGACATCAGCTCTTATATTTAGAAGGCAGTCTGAACGCATATTTCACTTGTGCAATTTTCAGGCTGATAGAAAGAACAGATTGGCTGTTAAAGCACCGCGAAGTGGGGCTGGAATCTAGTGGTTGAACTGGGAGAGTGAAGGTAAAATATCTATTTTTCGTGTTTTTGCAGGTTTTTGTCTACTCCCAAGCTAGATTAACACGGCGCCCGCCGTCTGTTGGCACTTGCTGTGGCCGAAACTTTTTCAGTTTTACGGAAGTTGCAACCCAGACCATCCTTGCTCTTGCTCTCGAGGTTGCGGGCGGGAATGTTCAAGCCTTTTGATGTAAGTTGTTTCACTAATCCATTCTGAAAAAAATGAACGTTCTCAGGCAAACATGGTATGACCTTGCTGGTTTTTAAGCTCATTTGGACCCACTCTATTCAACAATAATGAGACACCCATTTACTCAACAATAATGAGACCCCTTATTTCCTTTCGGCCAAGGGGCCTCTTGAGTGGAACACCAGGGGTACATTACCGTTTTCGGTCAAGGACTGAAGGGCCATTCCGTTCCATGGCGAAGCGTCTTCTGGCTGTCACTGATCCCACCCCATATCGGGGCGGGATCTCCTAGTCCATCCGGAGGTCATTAGAAGGATGTATCATATCACATCCCTCCCATCCCTGACACAGGAGGCCTTCTGACCCGCGCAGTTAGCCCCGGATCAGCACAGGAACCATCATTGACACAACAACATCCCCGATCACCGCAGATAGTCCGATAGTTGTCACATAGACTCCAGTTCCGTGTTTTCTGTGTTCTTCAGAGATATTGAGTTCTCTCCGACCGTAGATAAATGGGGTTCCTAATTTGTATTAACATGGCTAACCCATGCTCATCTTAAAATGCTCAAGATCCTGTCAGAGTGGATAACTGATAGGAGAATTACGTGATATGGTCTTGAACATGTGCGTTCGCAACTCATAGCAATAGCAGCCTCGACACCCGGCGTTGCAGTCTCCGGACCGTGTGGCGTCAGTCTTGTGACTGCAACACTAAGCGATGGCCAATGAGCAGACGAAAAAGATGAACATCTTAAGGGAGATGCCTGGTGAACTGGGTAAATAGGCATGCATGTTTAATGTAGTGCCAAAGTAAGCCAAATGCATCCTTAATCTGAAAAGTGGGGGCCCAGTTAACATTGCTGCCCCCCCCCCCCTCCCCCTCTCCCTGTTCCTACGCCCATGGCCTTTCCACACCTGCGTCCTGATACGCCGCTAGGCCTTCCCGGGACATCGGTAGTTCTTGACATTACACCTGCACCAGAATGGAGATCTTCCTCAAGAAAACATCGCGCAGGCGTCCATCCGCCCCTATTGAAAAATGTATCTGCCCAAGTCATGTACATGCTGTCCATGTCCATGCTGCACCACGTCCACGTGCGGAGGGCTCCGAAGACAGCGTTGCGGCGGCGGCAGGTCCGGCAGTGTCAGAGCAGGGCCTGGTGATCTCCCCGGACGCACTTTCTAACCCGGCCTTGAACCGCCGCGCCTGAGCGGCCGCCGCTCCTAGGAGAGGTGAGCGGAGATCACAAACAGACAACACTCGCCCCAGTGAACCCAGCAGCGGCTCATTCCGTCAGCAAGCCAAGCTAGCTGGCAAGAAAGCTGTTCTCAACCTGGCGCAAGGACAGCTGACATCTGAGATAAAGATAGCATTCCCTGCGAATAGCCGCTGTGCTCTTCCGTGCCTCTGTAATAACGCACCTATGTGCCTTTGATATGGGTACGCGGGAATTTCCTTACAGCTAATAATGGCAGTAAAACTTAATGGCATATCCATGTAATTGCAGACCGTCTCCTTACAGTTTTGTATTACTACTTCTAACAAACCAATGTGTTCTCACAAAGTTACAATATTTAGAGCGGGTGGTATCACGATAGCAACGGTAAGACCGGATGGCGACACTCAACCGACTCATAGACCATTATCTTGCAAGAGAAGCTCTAGGTGCCACCTCTTTTGCAGGAGCAAAGAAACAGCTTAGCATGTGCTTTATGCAAAATCTACTCTTTTCCTCAGGCACCAATAAATGATAACAGAAAGTATATGTCCGACATCATTGTCTTACAAACATGGGCATCCATGCACTCTTCACCCAAAAACAAAGCACCTGGTCTTGCGTGAGCCTGGTCGTAAAGATGATGACATCCACGTAATACTCGAGATGGCGGGAAAGTGCGTGACTGTGTTCGGTGTCATGTGATCGACGGCCGGGACCGGCACCGACAGCTGACAGTCCCAGGGGAAACCTGGCGGCGATCCCTCCCCGGAGGTGTTCCTAAGACGGAGAGGCGCCAGCTGCCCTGACGCCACCGCAGCTGACGGGGCGAGGGGCGCCGTCATCAGCGGCGGTGTCAGGCAAGAGCAAGGGGGGTGGCAGCGGATAGCAGTGGCTAAGAGTGCTGCGATCGGCAGCCACTTCTGGGAAGAGCAAAGAGGATGGTTACGGATAATGAATGGCTTGAGTTGCCGTCATCAGTGGCGATTTCCTCTTATTTCGTCTTTCAACTCCGGAAGAGGAAGGGGAGCGCAGCTGAATGGGTGGCCGGTAGTGCTGTCATCAGTGGCGGTTTTTAGGGAAGGAAAGACGACTTCGGGGGAGGGTGCCTGACGTAATAACAGCGGCAGCCTCAGGGACACGAGACTGGGAGGCCAGCAGACGAGGGATGACACGAGATGTTGTTCGCAGCAGTTGCTTAGGAACAGATTCGGTTACAATGCAGCAAATTATTGGATGGCCAGAGAGCTGCCATCAAAAGTGGCTGCGGGATGTGGGGCTGGGATAACAAGGATATAAAATTATAGGAGCATGTGAGGGGCAAAGGGTGAAAGGCGGTAGCGGGGATTAGAGATAGGATGAGGATGGAAATGAGGGCACAGATCAGAGCAACGAATAAGCTCAAGCGCACAGACGAGTCACGCAAACTCATCGGCTTCAATTCCATCAACAAGGTGCTATGAATGAAGACGACTGTGCGGCGGCGCCGTGACAAGGCCTGCTGCAGGGCCGCGGGTCCCAGTTGTGTTTGATCATCGTCTCTCGGGCCGGGAAAGTCTCAGGCCGGCCGGGCGGGCCTCAGCCACCCAGCGGCCGGCTGCGCGAGCCTCCGAGGTGAAAGGGAGCCACGGCCGCCGGTCACTTGGCGCAGGCCGGGCGGTGGCGGCGCTACACGGGCGCCCAGGTCACACCCGCCGCACCTGGGTCAGTGGCGAGTCGCGCTCGGTCGGCGACGGAGGGCGCAGCGGAGCAGCCGGCTGCGACGTGGGACACTGACACAAGACCGGAGGATCTCCACGCGCGTGCAGACGCCCGCCCAGGTGAGGCAGGCGTGGATAGGAGGCTGCGGTGGTGTGTGCTCGCGCCGCGCGCGGCGGTCGGATGTTACTTGTCGGGGATGGATGAGTGTTAGGGGAATGCGATGACAGTGGAACCTTCAGTGACACACTTGTTCGGAAGGGAGGAAAGCTCCAGAGGTCGACGTCAAAGATCAGCCTCTTACGTCCAAAGTGGAATGGTGAAACTGATCTAGCCGGTTCTGACTAACCGATGCAATTGTGGTTGGGTACAGAACAAGAGATTACCATGCGGCTGAAACAGAACTCACGGCCCCGCGCGTAGCTCAGACTTCACTCATTTTCACTATTCATTCTTGCCAAATATTAATCTAGGAGTCACTTAAGGGCGACAGCGCTTACAGTGTACTGGCATCATGGCTTTGCCTTAACGATTATTGTACTTCCTTCTCGAAATATACGACGCTTTTAAGTTAGATTGGTCATATATATGATTGATGTTTTTGCGCTAAATGCAGTAGCTAATAAATTTTCTTCAGTGATATCCGTGCAAATGGTTCAAGGCGCTTCAATTCGTTGCATGCTCTTTACGCTCCTATGCACCTCGGGTCGCAAGCAAGGTCGCCTGGGATGTCGTCCGCCTCCCAGCAGGTGGCAACTGTAATTGGCAAATGGTCACTCTTGACACAGTTCCGTAATTCATCAAGGCTGGTATACGAGTATTTATTGGAATATCTTAAAGACAGAAATTGAATACGGTATTCAAGTATGTACACTGGAGGTTTATTTCACCTGGCCTGCACTGTGTGCATCTCCAGTGATTTCAGCGGGCATAAAAAGACTGAGACGAATCGGTTGGTTGCTCCCAATATCCACAAAGCTGTAGCGGCAATGAAGCAGTAAAATGTCCTATAGCAGCAGTTGGCACTCATTTTCAGAGATAAGGACCAGCGATGTTCACAATAAAGCGCTGCTCGTCTCTCAGCAGGTTATCGTTTGGATGCATGTGGCATCCTCACCAGCCCACTCACTGAGGGCAAACATACAGCCGAGACTGCTGGGTGCATGCTGAGTCTGTTCAGCGCTGTCCGAGGCTGAAAGACACTTTTGGGGGCTCTCTCTCTCTCTCTCTCTCTCTCTCTCTCTCTCTCTCTCTCTCTTACTCCGCCTCCCCAACCTCGGCTGTTCACAGCAGCTGCTGACGCAGCTCTCACCATTACAATGTATTAGCATGACGCGTCCCGTATCTGATGCCGAGCGGTCGCTCACGCAGGCCGTGACGTCACCACCACGCGGAATGGTCAGCGACGCCCACTCACGCACCGTCCCGGACAGAGTTCCCATTAGCTGTCCATAACACACGCGGGACGCCGGATTGTGCAACAGCAGAGCCGAGGACCGGGCCGCGCCGCGTTTCATCACAGACAAATCCGGCTCCTTGCGGCCGATAGACCCGTGTGGCCGCTCTCCAGGAACGGCACGGCCTTGACCGCACGACCTGTCACCACGTGACTATGACCCGAGACCAGCCGCTCTCAGCAGCGCCCGTCACGTGACGTCCACTGCACGACGACAGATTAGGCGCATATCGCTGCGGTCTGGTCGGTGAGTTTTGGAGGTTTTCTGGACGACCGCGGGAGCAGGTCATACCCGTCTCTGCAGCTACCAGGCATCTAGTTTGCTCACCAGTCGCCAGTTACGAGACCGCGCACTCACATCGGCTCGGGTTTTCCCAACCGGCGTCTCCTGACCCCAATGCCTCATCCGAG